CAGATAGCTGACACCATAGAAATAAGAATAGAAAGGATGTTGAGCAATTTTTTGTGGTCATTTATCTGGCACAAAAGAAAATGGCTATCGTTGTTAGTTGTTATGGTGACAACACAAGCCAGCGGGGCCATAACGTGTCACACACTCACTGGAGTTTTGGCCTGTTCTTACGCCTGTTGTGCAACACCAATCCCAGTTTCTCTCTTTCACCAAACTAAGACCAACGTTAGCCTAATTAGCCCTTCCTAAGTCCCGCCCCTTTTTGCTCTGTGCTTCAATAACAGGTGAGCTAACCTGTATCATGGCAGAACCTCAACGTTCCCCTCTCCTGTTATACTAAGATATGCTATGGGCTAGTCACAAATGTTGTGAAGAAAACCAGATTTTAAGGATGTTTTAAAGATGTGGACGGAGGACTGTCACAATCTTTACGGACACATTACGTAGTATATAGTCATGTTAGCTTATGTTAGCAGAATGCTGGCTAGTTAGCTAACCAATAGCTACATGTAGAGAAGAGGGGTTCGCCCAATGCCAGATCACCAGAGTTAGCCAGCTTTGCTTCCTCTTTCTTGCTGTAGCAACATTGACGGGATTTAGAAAAGGACAGATGGGTCGGCTGCTAACCAACACATTCTCACTCTGACCTCGTCACATATCAACACATGGTCGTAGACTTTTCACGTCCAGATAAGACGTGCAAGGGTGCACTGGTTGTTGATGTTCTGGGACACTGTGCCAACTTCTGCCTGTTACGTGGATTGTCTTCTTTCAAAATACACTTCCATTATAACAGGACATTTACAATTTACATACAGTCTCTTTCAAAATAAATGCACTACGTTGGTACAACACTACAAATGTACTTTTTTTTTCCTTCAACAACAAAATCATGTGGTTGGATTTAGGAAAAAAGAACAAGGTTTGGTTTTATAATCTTACAGGACCCAAACCCGGTTCTCCCGTACAAAAGTCTGTGTTTGTTGGACCCATCCACCACCACTCCCGCCGGCCCCACTCGGACTTTTGCTAGCTTAACTTTCGTTCTTGTCCTGCTGCGTTTCCCCCTGATGCCGCCGAGTGCTGTTAAACTATAACGGCAAACGGCCACATATCATGCCAAGACCAGAAGCTTCAGTTTGCGTTTTTACCTTATTTATAACAGTTAACATCGTAAATATATCCTGTCAACACATAGTGTAGTCCAGTTATACTCAGCTTGCAGCCCCTGATAGAGTGTTGGGTGCCCCCCCATCTGTTTTAACATATATAAGGTGCCAGAGTGCATTAAAAAAAGCATCAAAATAGACCTTGTGCCAGGGGAGGATCCCCCGCACCCCTTAAGCCCTAGAAACGCCCTTGTGTACAGGTCTCCAGTCATTTTGTAAAAGTGGCCTCCAGGCAAAGCAAGTTGAGTATCCCTGCTTTAGTCCTTGCTGTCAGCTTCCTGAAGCTATTTTCCTTGACGTCCGTCAACTTTCTAACAGACACTGCAGGACCCCGCTAAGCAGAACCAGCATCGCCATGTTAAATTTTGTCAAGCTTGCCTGTCCAAGCAATAGTAACTTAGAGGACCGAGACTTAGGATAAGTCAATTTCCTTGTTAAGTCTTGTAGCGCACACTTATTTTAACTCAATGGAAGCAAAAATTTCGACACATTGCTTGTTTGGGCAGTAAGCTACACCTGGTGTGGTGTGTGTTGCTGCTGGCCCGAGGAATGTCCTTCATGAAGAATGGTCAAATATCCCATTATGCACAGTTCAGGACCTGTGATTTGACGGTAATCCGAGGAGGATTAATGCTGCTCTGAATGCATAGGTTTGCTTTTCTCCTTGTTATGTAGCTGATTGTCAACATATTGATAGATTCTTCTGTGTTTCTCTCAGCCTCCTGTATTTTCCCTCTGTCTCCCCTTGAAATAAATCCACATTGTGTTGTGTTTATCCAAGGCTTTCACAAGTGGCATAAAACAAGGCAAAAGTGAGATAGGAGGGAACAAGTGAAATGGGTTACGCCATGCAGGTCTGCCATTGTCTGCCACAAGCTATTTATTTTATCCCCTGACATAGATATCATCCTCTGGGAAAGTTTGCCACGGTAATTGTTCCAGAAAGTGAGGCGTTCTCCACCTGCAGGGTACATGAGAGGGTGGCCAAAATGATCCTATTTTCTTACACAACTAGTGAACAGCAGTAACAGGTCCCTCTGGGAGTCAGGGGTGTAAGGGAGGAAAAAGGGCTTATCAGGGATGAGAACCCTGAACCCGGCTCGAAGTCACATGCAATTGCTTTAATTATATACAATCAGACAGAGAGAAAGGGCAGCACAGGAAGTACTGTAACTGGAATAACAGAATTATCTCATGACTTAGTGTCTCATGGGGGGTTCTTGGGGCATTCATGGCCGCTGTGCTGAAGCTCTGTCTGGGGCCTGTTGTAAGATAATGGTGTTATTTTTGATAAGAATAAAGGGAAAGAATTGAGGGGGGGAAATTCTTTAGGAAACCATTAATGTAATCTTGTGTGGGATTAATTCTTTAGTGCAGCGGGAGTACTGTGAGGGCCATGGTGGAGTTTATTCACAAAGCGTCCCCGCCTAATCTGCAGTTTAAAATGTAAAGTGTAATTAAAGACACTCTGCCTGACTAAGGAGGGGGGGGTACATCAGTGAGAGTACATCCTCAACCTGACTGGGGACTTAAACCTGAGTGGAGACTTGCTGCTAAGCCACATACAGTATCCCCAGCATTGTGTATTACACGCTGAGCTTATTTCCTGTGTTGACTCACATAATCACTTACACCTGACCATCTTGTCAGGGCCCGAGCCTCAAACACTGCAAGAACTCTATTGTAATGCAAGCAATTCTTATTATTTTGGGCAACAAAATCACATTTTTTAAGGAATAAAGGTGCCCAAAAAACTCAAGAAACTTTGCAGACACATCAGAACTGGTGAGATATTTGATATTTTACAAGTCTCATGCTAAGATAAGTTGCTCAGCAGCACCCCCTGTAAAACTTTAACAGAGTTGCCTGGCAGGATGTAACACCTCGATGTACGAAAATTTGGAGGCACATATAACAACCAAAGACATTTTAAAGTCTTTTGGAGCCATACCCTAAAACCAGTGGTAGGCAACCTGTGGCTCCGGAGCCACATTGTATTAAAATTATAAAACATTAGATAAAAATATTATATAATAATTATATATTAATTATGACTGTACAATTATATAAATTAAGATTAATTATAATAAATTAAAATGAGAGTGAAAATTATTAAATTAGATAAAAAATTAAAAATGGCTACTGTTTATATTTTCATTTTTCATTGTAGTAGGCCTTGAGTGATAATTGTAAAAATGTGTGGCCTGTACACAGAATAAAAAAATGTTAACTAAATTTGCGTCATTCGGCCTATGACCTTTTTCTTTAAATTTTGCTGAACCTTAATAGCAGTGGCTTATCTTGGATCTTAAAGCTAAGCTAGCAGTTGATTCCAGATCGAAGAAAAGTTTTGGACATATTCGTTTGCTTTTACTGCCAACCCTGCCAAGTTACCAAAAATCATAAATAGCACACTACAGGGTAGTCACCTTGTGGTAAAACATATTAATAAATGCTCATTTAGACCTATTAGTAATGGGCAAATTTAGACTTACTGTTACCTTCATTATAAGGCTCAAATATGTTTTGTGGCTCCAATCAGATTATTTCAGAGCCTTTTTGGCCATAAATGGCTCTTTTGATAGTAAATGTTGCTGACCCCTTCCCTTAACCAAACAGGAAGTCAGCCATTTTGAATTAACTGTGCAATTTTAGTGCAATTTTTTCCAAGTATGACTCCATTTTCAGAGGTAATACTTAAAATCCTTCTGGAGATTTAACGTAATGGACTTCAAATTTGATCTGTTGCATCTAAAGACCTTTAAATGAACTTGCGATGACAAGTTCTTAAGAGCTTTCGTTGAATGGTGTGGCCTTTTCCATGTTTTGCCACAAAACAGGAAGTAGTTTGCAACTCCACCGTACATGGACGAATCTGCCCCAAACTTCACGTTTAATAAGAGTCCTGGGGTCGTATTTATAAACATTGCATACGCACAAAACGAGGCCTGAAAGAGGCGCACACTACTTCCCACGGAAAAGTTGTAATGTCTAAAAACAGACTTGATGGGAGAAACTTTGTGCCATGCTTACTGACATTTTGGAGATGGGAAATTGGGAGAGCAGATGGTGAGGTGGAAACTTGATTGTAGATAAGACTCCTGGTCTGACAACATCTACATGCCAATATTTGGTTATGCTGCCACTAACTGGCAACAGGAAAGAACATGATTTATACTTTGATGTATTTCTCTGAGCAAGTTGACCAGATCCACTCCAAATTTGTTTGGGAAAGCCTTAAGACCTTGATGATGCTTTATTGTGACGTTTCTACATGACATAACTTGACTCTACATGATCCAATCTACCCCAGATTTCATATGCTGCATAGGAGTCCAGGCCTGAGGACATCTACATGCTCATATTGACTCATAGTCATTGTGCCACCTACTTACACAAGAAGACAGCCTTGCGTGACAAAGATCATCTAATTTACATTAAATCACATTACAGTTCATGAGTACATGGTGCAGTCTTCACATAATATACAGCAGCAGGATGTATAATTAGTGTGTTTCCTCTAGCACCATATAGTGCACACAGGAAGTGGTAGACAATATGCAATATGTCATTTCCAGCATAATGCACTCCACACAGGAAACTGAAAATGGAGGGCTGCTTCAACCGACATGTGCGAGGGCCCGTTCATCAAAGCTTGCAGCTTAATTTTTTTTAAAGGATAATTATAACAAAGCTAAGCTATAATAAAGAAACTACATTTCTGGGTCCTTTTAATAGCATGAGGATAATGATGAAGATACATCCCGAAGCCACAATTACAATGTTTTACCGCTTACTTTATGCACTGTTCTTCTCTCTTTCTTTTTGCAGAGCTGCAGTTCTCACGGATCGTCTGTCAAGGGCAGCAGCGTGGCACCTGGCACATCAGCAGTAGCCCCACCTATTCTCAGCAGAGCACTGTCTAAAGGGAAACGCTTCAGGTGACAATGTGACATCCTCTTATTTCCTGTTTCATATCTTTCACTACATCCAGATATGAGAGGCAGCCAAGTGAGAAATATAATCGTCCTGCAATATGGTCGGAAATATAGACCTCCAAATAATGGAACAGATAATTTCTAAAATTGCTCAAAAGATTTATGGTGATTATAAGTGGGAGCCACTGTGTTAATATATATATCTTGAATACATTGCCAACACCATGAGCTTTGCCTGTGTGCATATCCTTAATCAGAATCAGACGTTTTAAAGGAGGATTATTGGTTTAGCTAGTTTAATTAAATGAAAATTAGAGTCTCTCAAAATAGTTGGGAAATTAGATGTCTTTATTTACATGGCATGTCCAGTAAATTGTGCAAAGTGATTAACTGTGTGCTCAGACAGATTCTGAATTGACTCCTTGCACACTGATAGGGTAGAGCATATAGGGAAGAGGAGGCGTCGTCTGAGGGGAAGCGAATTTTAATGTGCGGAGTTAAACATTGATTCAGCCAAATTCCTTTCATGCCATCCTTCAAATGACAGAAGATTCAACAAAATTAACATTTTGCTACGAGGGATCTCAGAAGCGGTTGTGCTTTGTGATCACAGCAGTCAGTATCAAATACTGCCATTTCAAATCCTCAGAAGAACACAGGGATGTGGGTACGGAGCCACAATGGCCCTATCTGTTTACAGAAAAGCTTCATTTGCTTTGATGATATGGGCGCAGGCACACTTTGACAAGTAATGACATTCAGCCACGCGACGTGCAAGAAGTCATTTGACAAAACTGTATTTCCCTTAGCAGCTATTACGCTCATTGTTGGCAAATCACTAAAAATGTTTGATTGCTTGTAAATGTCTACCTTTCACTTGATCTGATGGTGCTGAGAAGCATTGAAAGCACCCTCTGGATGAGAGAACAGGCTGTGCATAAGGCTTCACGTGTTTTACATTGCTGTGTGCATTACACAAACTTTCAGCGTCACGTAGCGAGGACATACAGTACAGGATGTACAGTAATTACAGGCAGCTATGTTTGCAGAGATAATGGGGGATTGTGTGTATACAGGCGGAGGGAGCTTTTAGATGTCTGGTTGACTATGATGACAACTTTAGCGAAAAAACCTCACTGAGGCAGCAGTTGTTCTCTGTTTTAATGGACCAGTTGTCATGTGTGGCTGCGGGGATGATGCCAACTCGTCCTGGCTTTTTATTCTCCACAGTGTCATTCAGGTGCTTCACAGAGGGCAGCTGACAGTCAATCATCTGTTGGGCTCGATCACAGAGTAGAGGGAGGTGGGGGAAAACTAGACTGTGATGGATGATGTCGAGATGCTTTCAGCTATTGACCTGAGAAAGTGGACCACATTTCGAGCTATCAGGAGAAATACCTCATAAACGCATGTCAATATGGCCCATCAATATTGCTGCAAAAGGTTACCTGTGTATCATAGGCCTTATCAGTGGATATGAGCATGTGCAGATTGATTCACATGCTTGAATGCACAGTATTCTGTTCAGCTGTGAAAACTGAAATGTAGACAGCACATAAATCATTGTTAATATAGACATAATATAAAGATAAAAAAAACATACAGCCAGCTCTTCAACCAGAAAAAATAACAGTCTGTTAGGCTGTACCACAGACTGTAGTATATAAAGATGGAAGAAGCGTCTCCACTTCCTCCCACTGTACAAAAATGAAGCCAAAATATCCTGGATACAGCCACTGTCAGCTTGTATTGGTGGCGTCATTTGAAACTTGTCTGTGCAGTAGCAATGGAGAAGTGAAGTCACCATGCACCTGCTCGACTCAACACCATCGGCTTAAGTGACTCAATTATGAGTGCGGTGACAGACACGCACAGCTGTCAATCATGACATCATACCTCCTTTTTATAGCAGAAAAATTAACTCTCGATCATACATCAGCGTGATAAGAACTATCTGATGAGCCAGTAACCATCTTTAGGAAAAAGTTTGACCCATGTCCCATCCACTAACATGCAGGGGGCTGGGTTTACGACTTATTCTGCAGCCAGGGGAGCTGTCATGCCATCCATCATCATAGTTTTCTTGGCATGAAAAACTGAGACATGCTGTTGTAATCATACTCATTTTTGTTAACATTTCAGACTGTTTATCTGTTTCGTAAAAGGATGAACGTCTACCGAATGTATTTATAGGGTATTGTGCAATGGTTTTATTGGTTTGGCCCATCTGAGATCAAATTTGGGCTGTATGTGGCCCATAAACTAAAATGAGTTTGACACCCCCGATGTAAGGGCTTATTTATACTCCCTTAACATACAAAAACAGATGCATCCATTTATGTCACTGCCCTCATACTTCCATGCTCCCTTTATGTTAGATACATCCAATAAATGGCACTAGAGGGCAGAGTCAAAAGTTCCTGGCAACGACAGACATGGAAACGTTGGAGGAGGTTGTAATAATGTAACTTTTAATGGTGGCAGTGGGGCCATTAAATATGTCTTATCATGTGAACACAGAATTCTTATTCCTTTGTTACTTAATTCGTTTTGTCCCACCATTTTTCAAAAGTCTTCCTCATGTCTGACAGTTGTATCTCGCTTGAACTATGCTATACTGCTACCCCATGATCTCTGGTGGTACTGCTTCCTGTCTGTATACTTAAGCTTTCAGAAAATGTGCTCAAACATGGATGAAATATGTGCTCCATCCATGCCTGTATATGTATCTAACGTTGAGCATAAATGAGCCATAAGGCTGATGAGAAGAGTTTTGTAGGTATTTGGTCATAAAAGTTAAATAAGATGTTTGACCTCATGGTGGCACTTGAGGAAAAATCAGAGGATCATTAAAATCAATCTAATCAGAAGAGTCTTTGGTGATTAGACCCCGTTGTGTTGTCATATACTCCAGGAGGGTGGTAGACGTAGCAGATTAGGGATTCCCTCTGTGGAGTCTAGACACTGGTGGTGGTGATGGTGGTGATGAGATGAGATGAAGAGGGAGCTTAGGATCTGGAAGTGAAGAGGAGCTGGCTTTTGATGAGCAGAGAGGAGATCAGATTTATAGTTTGGTATCAGCAGCATGAGCGGCTGAAGGAGATTGTGATTAGCTAAAGTGAGATTGGCTAACCAGGTGAGGGAACACCCATAGTCAGCTGATTGGTGGAAGTGGGGTAGAGAGAGAATTGTAAATGCATATAGCATAAAGAAGGTCTTCCTGATTGAACTTACGCTGAGCTTCATTAGAATGAATTTTTCTTAAAAAAAAAAAAGGATCCATTGGTTGTTGAGATATTTCAGTCGAGACTAAAGACTAACATCTCTTGAACCATGTGGCTAATGTGTATGAATTCATACTTTCTCTTTATGTAGCATGATGTGTGTTGTACACTCATCAGTAGAGAAGAAAGAACAAATGTTTTTGAACCAATCATTGCCAATTTTGAGAAGTTCTGAGTAAACTGACCAGCACAGCTCGCTCTGTTCCGCCTGTTATCAGGCATATTTCCGAGTCGCTTTGCCAGCAAAATGTGATGGAAGGAACACTGTCGCAGTCAATGTATAATCATCACACTGCCAGCAGTCAATCACTGTTTCCATTTGTGCTATTGTGGAATTTGATCAATCACCCAGATTTCCATTGTCATGATTTGATTATGAGGAAATTATTGGCTAATCAATATGCGCAAGTCGAGTCAGTGGGCATGAGCTTCTCACATGCAGACACTGGAAGTGCTGTGTCGGGGTATCCTGCTTCTCTGTCTCTCTCTACAACGTCCGAATTGAGAGGAACTTATTAAAATATGTGCTGGATTACTCACAACCATGCTTTCCGATTTAACATCAGGAGGCTGCACATTTTTTGGTATATTGCAGAGATAAGCAGCTGCTTTGTCAGTTTTAGACAGCAGTTTTAGACCCTTAACATTTAACATTTAATAATTACAACTGCCTGGTGATTTGTACACAAAAACATATTTGATTTTTTTCCCCTAGCTTTCAGTTAATCCTAATTAAAAATCAGCATGCTAATAGCCAACAAAACTGACATAATTCAGCTTTATTCATATCAACTTTGTAGAACATCAGTCGATGCAAACGCTAATGCTGGCGAAGACCAGAGCCAACATTAGCCATGCTCATTGTTCCACAGCCATGGACATTTGGAAATTATTAGAGCTGAATATTTTTTCACAGTGTTCCAGTCAGCTATCAATTAATAACCAGACATCTACTGGACTACTTAGTTTACTGCATGAATTAAAAGGAATGAGGGAGTTCAGTGTAAGGACAAGCTAGAAAATCTTAAAGTTTTGACATCTTGATTACTATTTAAACACAGTCCACCACTTCATACATAGACTCTTTCTGTAATGTGTGGCTGCTGCAGTGCCAAATTATTCAAGAGCCAAATCAAGCTGGGGGAATGTTTGTCGCTGATTTGGATTTAGTGCCTCAACACAAACACGTTTTTCACTCAGCATTTATAATATGTCATAAGTTGTTTTTGTGGCTCAGTAAAACTGACACAATCAACTGACCTATTGCGCACAAAAAAAACCCCACTAACAGGTGATCAACAAAGCAGCCACGGTGTTAAAATGTATTCAAATAAAGTGAAAATCTGTCTCATAGTCCCACATGTGCTGTGAGAGAGTTCTTGCATGATATACTTACACATCAAATTGCAATATAGTGCGGTATAACTTTGATTCACATTTGATGTCACGGCTTTATTGCCTTAGACATGCAGGGATCTGCTTTGAAGTCGACCACCTGCTGCCCACAGAACAATTTAAAAACAGTGTGCCTTGGCAGGAAGCACACTTTCTAAAGCCTGCTGCTCCTATCCTCAACGGCAGCAAGATAATGATATATCCTGGACATTTTCATGAGGGTGTGAGAAATATGTCCTTGTATATTTACCAACATGTAGTCACAAGTAGATGCCCTTTAGCTTCAGCAAATAGGAAGCTCATGAAAACAGTAATGCAGTGTTTTGTTTCAGATTTACTTGTATTTTTAGCCGCTGAAGCTCTGTGGATGGAACTGCTGGTTGTTGAAGGTCATTCATGGTACCCAGAGGATGAATCATACTGATTTTGGTGATTCTCTTACTTTTCCTTCAGAGCCACTGTGAGGTTTACACTCAATTAGAGTGAAGTGTTAGATGGATTCCCTCAAAAAGATATTCAAGTTCCACAGAGGATATGTTCAACTGACTTAAATGAACCTCTGACTTTAAATCTGGCACTCTCATTCAGTCAAAATTTTAATTTCCCCAATACTATGGTTTATGACCATGTGTGTGACCATCCTCTGCTGTTCTTTATGCCAATTATGCCAATGTCTAGCCATGTTTGTATCGACGAAACCCAGCCCAGTCGCCAGGATCAAAAGTTGGCATTGTACGTCTCTGCAAACAACAGATATATTACATTTATACGTTTCATATGTATTATATCAACATACATGTACAGTACAGGCCAAAAGTTTGGACACACCTTCTCATTCAATGCGTTTTCTTTATTTTCATGACTATTTACATTGTAGATTCTCACTGAAGGCATCAAAACTATGAATGAACACATGTGGAGTTATGTACTTAACAAAAAAAGGTGAAATAACTGAAAACATGTTTTATATTCTAGTTTCTTCAAAATAGCCACCCTTTGCTCTGATTACTGCTTTGCACACTCTTGGCATTCTCTACATGAGCTTCAAGAGGTAGTCACCTGAAATGGTTTTCCAACAGTCTTGAAGGAGTTCCCAGAGGTGTTTAGCACTTGTTGGCCCCTTTGCCTTCACTCTGCGGTCCAGCTCACCCCAAACCATCTCGATTGGGTTCAGGTCCGGTGACTGTGGAGGCCAGGTCATCTGCCGCAGCACTCCATCACTCTCCTTCTTGGTCAAATAGCCCTTACACAGCCTGGAGGTGTGTTTGGGGTCATTGTCCTGTTGAAAAATAAATGATCGTCCAACTAAACGCAAACCGGATGGGATGGCATGTCGCTGCAGGATGCTGTGGTAGCCATGCTGGTTCAGTGTGCCTTCAATTTTGAATAAATCCCCAACAGTGTCACCAGCAAAACACCCCCACACCATCACACCTCCTCCTCCATGCTTCACAGTGGGAACCAGGCATGTGGAATCCATCCGTTCACCTTTTCTGCGTCTCACAAAGACACGGCGGTTGGAACCAAAGATCTCAAATTTGGACTCATCAGACCAAAGCACAGATTTCCACTGGTCTAATGTCCATTCCTTGTGTTTCTTGGCCCAAACAAATCTCTTCTGCTTGTTGCCTCTCCTTAGCAGTGGTTTCCTAGCAGCTGTTTGACCATGAAGGCCTGATTGGCGCAGTCTCCTCTTAACAGTTGTTCTAGAGATGGGTCTGCTGCTAGAACTCTGTGTGGCATTCATCTGGTCTCTGATCTGAGCTGCTGTTAACTTGCGATTTCTGAGGCTGGTGACTCGGATGAACTTATCCTCAGAAGCAGAGGTGACTCTTGGTCTTCCTTTCCTGGGTCGGTCCTCATGTGTGCCAGTTTCGTTGTAGCGCTTGATGGTTTTTGCGACTCCACTTGGGGACACATTTAAAGTTTTTGCAATTTTCCGGACTGACTGACCTTCATTTCTTAAAGTAATGATGGCCACTCATTTTTCTTTAGTTAGCTGATTGGTTCTTGCCATAATATGAATTTTAACAGTTGTCCAATAGGGCTGTCGGCTGTGTATTAACCTGACTTCTGCACAACACAACTGATGGTCCCAACCCCATTGATAAAGCAAGAAATTCCACTAATTAACCCTGATAAGGCACACCTGTGAAGTGGAAACCATTTCAGGTGACTACCTCTTGAAGCTCATGGAGAGAATGCCAAGAGTGTGCAAAGCAGTAATCAGAGCAAAGGGTGGCTATTTTGAAGAAACTAGAATATAAAACATGTTTTCAGTTATTTCACCTTTTTTTGTTAAGTACATAACTCCACATGTGTTCATTCATAGTTTTGATGCCTTCAGTGAGAATCTACAATGTAAATAGTCATGAAAATAAAGAAAACGCATTGAATGAGAAGGTGTGTCCAAACTTTTGGCCTGTACTGTACATGACGTGGAGGGGGTTGTGGAATGCATGACACATACACAAGAAGGCTGCCAAGCTGCAGACCACTGTTTGAGACCAGCAATCAACAAAGAAGGTTATTTTTTAGCGGGAGATCAGCAGCATTAGCAACTATGGTATGGTATGGTATTTTAAGCCAAAACATGATCTTTTACTATCCATAACCAGTGTTTTTTGTACGTGATATAACCACACATTAACCACAACAGTTCCTAAATGTTTCGATGGATCTGCAATATAATAATGTATAAATGTTGCATACCAGTGATTTACAGGTATGTACTAGCCAACATTTATTGTAGCAACTGGGTTGCTAAATTGGGTAATTTGGAGTGTTGTCACACCTGCCCTGTTTGGTTCGGTTCAGTCGAACTAAAGTGTGTTTGCCCCCTGAGTGCGATCTGTTTAGGCAGGTGAGAACACAGAAATCACACTCGGGTGCACACCAAAGCAACCGGACCAAGACCTTCTTGAAGAGGTGGTCTTGGTCCGGTTACAAATGAACTCTGGTGCGGTTCGTTTGTGCTGAGAACGTGTTCTGACCTGGATCTGAACCAACTGCAGTCACATGACACATTGTTTGGGTTAAACATGAGCATGTTACAGTCCTGGAGGATTATTAATGTGCACCTCCTCCTGTACTGCCTTAATATGCACATTCAGCACATCCAATGCATCAAAACATTGTTTTCTAGTTGGAGCCACGCCTCGTTTTCAAACTGTATGGTTTGACTGAAATGAACAATGACAGCAATATAGTCCACGATGAGCAGCGCTAAAATCAACCTGTGTAGTTGTCCCTCCATTGTGACATTAAAAAGTGTCACATTTATCTTGCAAGTGTACTCTTCTTCAACGATTTGTTTACTACCTGGATTTTTCCCTCATGGAAATTCTGACCAATCAAGAGCAGCTTTCTCGCACAAGGCATTTGATCTGGTCCGCTTGTAAATGCTGCCGTGAGAACACGAACCAACTCTAGGCAATTATACAACTTTGTAACACAATGAGTCCCTGATTTGGACCAAAGCAAGACAACTCTAGGTCTAAATCAAAGCGAAGATTTTTGTGCTTAACATAACCACACAGTACTGTCACAACATCAAAATGAACATTTTAAATGTGGCCGCTACGTAATAACATACAAATATTACATATCTATTATTTACGATGCCAACATTTATTCTGTGTGTTGGGTTGCTGTGTACAGCCTCACAGAGCTGCCAGCGTTTCCTTGAGTCTTGTTTCACCACAAATTCTACTCTCTGTTTGAATGAACCATGACAAATTATTTAACATGTATGTAATTTGCATTGCTTACTGGTAAATTGCTATTCTTTTCACAACCCCAGTCTGATGCAAAGACTTCAATACCAAGGTCATCAATGCACTGAGTCAATTAAATATGGAACATGATGCTTTTTTTCCACTGGAGGATCAAACAGAAAGGTCAATCCAATCCAGTCCATTATACATCAGTACACAGGAGAGGAGATACATTTGATACAATAAATGAATTAGTGAGAGCTGTTTGGATTCATGCAGCTTTTCTAAAGTAGTGTGTACAATTCATGTGGTATTCATCCCCTTTTACTGGTTTCCCTTCTGGTTACAGGAGCAGCTCCCTTTCACTTAGTCCTGCCCGACAGCGGAGGGAGACCAATTACTTCAGGACCCCGCCCATTTCCAGAGGGAAACACAAAATATCCACAAATCTCATCGATGGATCCAGAGTGCCCAGCCACGTCTACAAACACTTGCAGGAGGATGAGTCAACAGACATGGAGTCCATAAGAAGGTGAAACTTTTTGTTGGTTTTGTCGTGTTTGTTTGATCCACAAAGAGGAAATTCTCTTTGCCCCTCTCTACGCTGGTGTCAAATAGCCGGTGCAGTGACACAGACCCGCGGGCTAACCGGGGTTAAGTTGGAGTGGCAGAGGGATAATTTTGGGGGAAATGAGTTTGCGACTGAAATGCTCGCAGTTCAAATCCGCAAACTAGCTTATGAAATCTGATCCAGGGAAATAAATGAGATCTGCTGTGCCCTCCTTCAACTGGGACTGTCACAATTAATTTGGAGAACACACTTGATCCCAGCCGCTCAACAGTATCGTGGTGCTGGGGAAGTCCAAGAAATGAGTCTGTGTGTAATCCTCCCTGCACTTGCCATTGGGGTTGTTGCTGTGAATGAAAATGTGTTTTATCTGCGGGGGTTTTTGTCAGGGTTAAAAATACAACGACGGCGCCAAAGCTAATTACCAGATGATGCATGAGTTCACATGAAGATGTCCAGAATGGGCTGATTTTTGGCTCACACTCGAGCATTATGTGGATCATGGTTCACATATCAAATAAATGATTACATTTCCTATCATGTGCAAGTTAAATATGGAGCCATACTGCGTGATTGCAGCCTTCTAGAACAAGACTACAAATTGCCAAGGATTAATTTCAGGCATTGACACATCTTGAATTCTCCTCATGCTCTTCCTGATGTCGAGTGAGGACAGCGAGTTGCCCTATTTTCATGGCTATCATAAGTGAAGCACAGCTACTGGCGCTGTTTCAGGGAGCTTTAAAAGCAGGGAGGACTTTTTGGCAGAGCCACCTCTCGCCAGTTGGCTATCTAGGGGCTTAAAATAACTTACACATATTAGAAGTACAGTCTGATGATCCTTTCTGGCGTGGGTTCAAAAAAAAAAAAAAAAAAAAAGGAAAGCTCGATGTGAAATCCTCTCCGACTCATTTGTTATTTGTTGACGAATGTTCGCCCCGTTTTCTCAAGGAGTGTGGAGATGATCCATGTGCATCAGTTTTCTCTTTGCCTCAAAGATCTTGAGATTATGAGTAAGATTGAAGGAAATATTTAGCTTTCACTGTTCACTCAGATGCTTGTTTTACTAAGAGGAATAATGCAGAGTGTCAAGCAGTTGCGCTGGCGTTTCCTCTTAAACAAGAAACACTAAAAACATTGAATTATTTTAGCTTTAACATCCAGATGCAGCAGAGATCTTTAAGCCCAAGCAAGGCAGTCCTATTTAGCATATGACTCAGAAACAGCCTAATTTGCTGTCATTGTGTGCAACTTGAGGGATGGCACTGTTATCAGAAACGTCTGTCATTAAAGCAGTAGTGTCCCTTGTGCATTCTGCACACTTAAAAGTGCCTAGCAATGTTTCTATTAGCATGCCAACCCAATTGAGCGCTACAGTGACTTGCAAGATACACTGCAAGCTGCCAAACTCTTTATGTGACCTATTTCCATAATTTACATTTTTAAACAAAGCTCCATGGAGCTCAGCAGTTCTTTCAAATGGTTGTGCGGGGAGATCCTGCAGGAGCATAACACACACACACTCGTGTGCACACACAGAATAAATAAACAAACTAATAAAGAAACTAATGAGATTTTTTTTTTTAATCACAAAGGCAAAATCTGTAAGCTATAGGCAATTAAACCTTACGTAGCCTTTTCAAGTGTTCTGGAGAGGAGCTGGAATAAGAGGGCCTCTCGTCTTCTTGGGGATAAGGCTGCGTTTGTACAGTTAAACAATTTAGATCTCATTAGCCATTGATAATTCCCGCGCAGATCCATCAGCCGAGTGTATCTCACCGGCCTTCAGGAGGGCGAAATGACGTATTTCTCGACTTACCAGCCATACAACAAGCTACCAAGCTCACAGCCCCTTCCTCCTCTTCCTCCTCCTCCTCCTCCTCTTCCTCCTCCTACAGCCCCCACCTCTCCCTTGTTGCCATGGATACACCCTCTCATCTCTGGAAATGAGAAATGGGAGGTGGAAAGTAGAGTGAGAGAAGGGGGGGGGGGGAGTGAGGAAAAGAAGGAAGATTGTGCAGAGATGATGAGAATGCAGTGGAGGAAAGATGGAGGCACAGAGTGCGGTAGAAAGTGTAAAAAAAAAAAAAGAAGAAAAGAGCGAGGCAAGAACAGCAAACAATGAGAATTCTCTTCCATGTTTTTGTATTTTGTGACAATAAATCCCCGCAGAGTATTGTCAGTTTCATTATCCGGTGTCAAAACATATATTTACCCATCGCAGATAAGGACAGAGTTGAAGGCAAATTTGCTATGGGAGTTATTTTTAGATATGTTTTGATCTGCCGGATTTACCTCCAGCTTGCATTCGCCCTTCTAATACCGAGGGAGGAGTGGGAAAGTAATTCAATTATTTAAACTTGGTTATGCTACAAACAGTCTCTGAAGGCTGACAATAACACTGGCTGTCTCCTAAGGCTTTGCTGGGGTGATTCTAAATGTGAATTGAGTCCTCAGTAACAATATTAACTCTTGTGCACATTCGACTCAAATACAAACTCACCCACTTGACTCTGGATAAGTTTTGCCGCTCTGCTGTATTATTTCCATCCTGAACACAAAGCCTTTTGAGCTTGTAGTCACCGTTTCATGAAACTCCACTTGTACTTGAGGACAGGATGCATCACTGTGTGAACATATACATATATATATATATATATATATATATATATATGTATGTATGCTGACTCCCACCCAGGAAACACACCTACATTCACCCCAAATGTCACGTTATAAGCTTGTAAGACTAGTTGTGTTCTGTGAGATAATGAGGGTTGGGCTGGTGTAAAAATATGAGACAAGTTTGATCTTAAGCCACACTCCAGACCGGACCAATACATCGAATTTTACCACTAGAACTAGTCACACTTGACTCAGCAGCTGCACCCAGATGGAACATAATGACACTCTGTCCTAACAGCTAACAAGCGTCTGATTAGTGCATAGCATCATGCAACATACAAGCTTTCTGTCTATACTGAATTTATTAAATATGTACTTCTGTTATTTTATGTAACAAACCACGTAGCTAGCAGCTGTGCGCACTAGATGGGATTGGAGACATAACCACTTAAAAAGATGGGTGAGGCTCCCCAACTTCTTTATTAGCCCTCCTGTATTTGTTTTTATCTTTGTCACACTTGAATTCTACAAAGAATCCAATAGTTTCACACTCACTTAAATTTGGTCTGTGGTTAGGGAAAATTTGGGGTGGCATTCTGGCTCTCTTGGTCGTAAATTGCTCTTTCACTCCATCTCTCACTGATGGCACGAAAAAGGGATTCATTCTTTCAATGATCTTTTTATCAATGGTATGTTCTCATCATTTCAGCAGTTACACACTAAGTTTGACATACCACCTCATTTTTTCAGATATTTACAGGTATGTAACTTTGTCAAGCAAATCACTGCATCCTTCCCTAATATACCTATCAGTTCGCCAATTGAATCTATATTTTTGTCAAACCCACTGATCAAATGAGGCATCTCTGTTATTTATAATGCACTTTTGTGTCTAGATTGTACCGTCTCCCTAGATTCTTTAGAAGTAGCCAGGGCAAATGATTTGGGGGTTGCTTTTTCAGAAGACTCAGATGGGTAAGAAGCCTATTTGATGTCTTTGTAAGTTTGTAACATTATTTTTTAAACAGAAAACACACGTTTTATGTTGTGATATTTACTGGAAATGACATAAAATACAGTCAACAGCAAACAGATTGTTATAAGCAATGGTCATTTTCCAGAAACTTTCAGCTTCCTGTTCATCCACATCCAGCCAGCTGCTACCTTATTTTGTTTTTTGTAGTGAAATAAGAAGGTATTGTATAGATAATTGCTTATTTTACCCTCATGAATCAGCCGTTTTTGGTCCATTGCAGCACTTTAAAAGTAAGTGTCAGGTACAAATAGAAGCAAAATGTTGCCATGTTGGCACAGTTTTTAGTTTTGAGACACTAACTCTGCCATGTCTCATCTCGTCCCCCCAAAAAACACATGAACTTTCTAGTAAACAACCATAAAGAAATTTGATCTCCTCCATGTTGACGACACAAATTGCACACAGTCTGTCAAAGCACTAATGGCTCCGTTTGTCCATTTTTAAACATAATATTATGTCATATTGCATATTACCAGTGCAATACAAGTTGGATTTAGCATTGTGATGCCATCAGCACAGGTTACTGATGTAGACTACTTTTCAATTTACCAGAATGTGTCATAATGACAAATGGCAGTTCAGCTCAGTTCAGTTTGCATAAAATCAAACCAGTTTAAGCTGGTACACTGAACCACAACAGCAAAACTGGAAATCAGCCCAAATCTATAGAGATTATTTAACCAAAATTAGAGCACACATGTCCAAAGAGTGGAATATTTGCCACATTCACACACAGGCCAGGATCAAGAATCAAGCAGCTGTGTTGCTAAAGCCTTAAATCTGCGATAAGGCATTCATGAGAGACGGATTTTCCAGTTTAACATTCATGCAGCAACAGTACAGACTGCCCATCCTGAGGATTATAAATAATTATACAAGATTATAAAAAAACAATACCTAAATAATGTTCCTGTTGTTTTTTGAGCGGAACAATGGGGGGAATAAAATGGTAAAAATCACAAAAGAGCAACAGCTTTATCTCCATATTCCATTTTACTCACTCTCTGTTATTCCTCTTAGGAAATGAGAGTCCTGGATGAAAAGGTCACAGTATAAATGACTTGGTTTCTGTTTCTCACTCTGCCATTTCTATTCTGTCTTCTGCCTAAAGGTGTGATTCCACCGGTGGAAAGGTCGGCGGCCTCCTCAACAGGACTTCACTCTCTCACTTCGCAGCCAGAAAGGGATGGACTGAGGTTCCATGCACCCGTCTGGATAAGGGAACAACCTACTTTCCACCTTCCTTGCGCACCCGCTCTGTGCCCATCATCCCCTCGCTCCAAGCGTGCGACCTCGAGGCAGGGAATGTGGACACGAGCCAGCGGAACCAAGGAGCGATCCTCAAGTGGCACCCGGCGCTAGCTGGAAAAACAGCAGTGCCCATGAGCAATTCTCCCTCTCCTCCCCGTGAGACTGTCATGCTGGTGCCTGGTGTCATGCCCAGCAGTGTTAGCCCTCCTGCCACCAACACCACCGTTACACTGGGGTCGGAGAAGAATCTCAGCTCCACACAAACAACCTGCTCTATTGAAATCACAGTGGAGCTCGCACAGGAATTAAAACAGAAAAGCCTTTCCAGCTCCATGAAAATGTCCGGGCCTCACAGTGAGATCCACCGTGGTGGCACAAACACTCTGGAGGCTGGGACTGCGCAGGGGTCGGAAGGGAAATGCGTCCAATATTCAGCCAGAGTTCTGCACACAGGTGGTGGGACCAGAGGTTTGAAGGCAGCAGGCCAAAGAGAAGCCCAGGGACAGTGCCAAGGTCAGACGTCTCTCGTGTAAGGAGGCGCAAACCACTCCTTGGCCACCAAAGGACCCAGCTGCAGAGGAACTGGAAATGCTTACGCCAAGCCCTCCGCAAGCTGATTGGATTAACTCTGTAAAGCTTCAAAGACACTGTTTCCAATAACTGTATACCTTTGCTGGTGGCACAGGATGGTTAGCAGGTGGGACCATCTGTGTGGCCACACGGACCAATAACAGATGGCCGTCCATTCTGAAAGGAACACGAACAGATTGAACTGCAGACGAAAAAAATATTGACACAGCAAAAAGACATCAAATTATAAAGAAACAGAGACAAACAAACACACATTGTGAATAAATGTGACTCAATAAGGAAAAACAAAACCGTGACTTGAGTGGGAGCTTGACTTAAACAGTGTATTGAAAAAAATGCCACTATTTAAAAGGAGCTTCTACTTAGAAACCAAAATAGTGTGTCATCTCTATGTTGTTTCTCTATTGTAAAGAAATGAAATTATATATGTCATATAATATATGTCATATAGACGTATATATATTTGACATACAATTGTGACAAAATAAAGACTAAGATAACAGTGTTAAATAAGGGCTTTGTTCATCTCAATCCATCTTTATTACCTGATGTGAAGAATGCTTGTGTTTGTAAATTGTTGTCTTTAAAAGTATTTAACTGCCTGAAAGATGGTTTCATAAAACTGGGCTGTATGTGACGTAGAAAGATGCAAATACTTTTAAGATTGGTGCTGTATGAGCAGAGAAACCAGAGAAAATGGGCTGTGGAATTTGTTGTTGCTCCAGAGGTAGAAAACCTACAACTACCAGAATGCATTGCACCACACTGGACCAATAAACACTCCCGCTGGTGGGTGACATCATGCAAGCTTGTCAGTTTCTACACAGGAAACAACATGGCAGCCGACTGGGATCAAACACTTAGAATTACAGTTAAATGGTAAGCTGAGATATGTTTCTGAACATGTTCGGAGAGACGCAGCAACAGAGTGTTGGTTCAGTTTTGATCAGCACTGATTAGTTTAATCTGAGTTTGAGAGAGAAAGATGGGACGTCTCTCTGTCTGTGTTCATGGTGGCAGGCAGATGAAAAAGCAGGAAGTACAATCTGTAGTTCAAGCAACAGCCCTGGGGACAACCAAAATCTGCAAAATGTGTCTTTGAGCTGAGAAATGAGCAGCGAGATCTGGGCTCTGGTAAGATGAAGGGAAGTTTACCACAGTTAATTTACACAGTGGTTCTCAACCAGGAGTCCAGGGGATAGTTTATGTTGGTGAGGATTCTCAGTCATCCAGGTCATGGTAATCATAAGTGCTGTATCGTAGGCAGCTGGACTTGCTAGAGTGTCTTGAAGACATTTCACCTCTCATCCAAGAGGTTTCTTCAGTTCTAAGAGTCTCAGAGTCTATAGAGTTTCAGGCTTTAAACTCTGCGTGGGTGTGAACCCTTGCAGAGTTGTTGAGGTTGCATGTGAGTCATTGACCCACCTGGCCATCTTGTGTGATGGTAGGGTTAGATGGGTCCAGGCGTGAATGTCAAGTGGTCAAATGACGACTGAGAATGGTTGTAAACTCAGAGCTCACATGTGACCTCCACGACTGTAAGGGTTCATACACACACAGAGTTTAAAGGCTGCAACTCTGCACCAGTCTGTTAGAACTTAAGAAGCTTCTTGGATGAGAGGGAATAGTTTATTTTCTCTATTTGACTCACTACAAAGGTGAGCCCAACGTGAGTAATCAACCAGGTCTCACTCCGAGGTCGTCGAAATCAAGAGCTTGGGCAGTGACTTGCAGCATCAGACACGGACGAAAGAAGCCATCCTTTGACATTGGCATGATACTTGGCTGGTTGCTGTTATATTTTAAGAGTGCTCAGCAGCATCAGGGGGAAACATGGCGGGACAAGAATGAAAGTTAAGGCGGCAAAAGTTCGAGGAGGACGGGTGGGAGGGATGGTGGATGGGTCCAACAAACATTGACCTTCACCCCAGGAGAGTGGCGTTCGCGTCCAGTAAGATTATAAAGCCAAACCCTGTTCTTTTTACCTAAACCCAACCACATGCATCAGTTGTTTCAAAAGAGACTGTATGTAAAGGGTAAATTTCCTGTGAAAACAGAAGTGTATTTTGAAGAAAGACAATGCATGTAACAGGCAGAACTTGACACACCATTACCAAGAGTACTTTGCACGTCATATCTAGACATGAAAAGTCCATGACCAAACGTCTATATGTGATGAGGTTGGAGTGATGCCATGTTCCCACTGGACACAGGTGCCCTGATATGTCAGTTGTTGCACAGCCACCTGTCAGCAGTCGCCTGGCCGTTCACACCAGAAGCACCTTTCTGCTCCTCTGTTATGTTCTGTTCACATGTAGAGCTCTGTCTCCGACTGCTTTGTGTCTGCTCGTCTCTCTTGCTCTTCATTTACAGTCCAATATGTGGAAGCACTGGGCGCATATTTAATCTTTTATCATAATCAGATCATTTATATCATATCTAATATATCCTTCATATCGTTCACAGTAGATCATCAGTGTGTTTTCATGGATGCTTTCATGTTGTTTACACCAAATTCTGACCCTACCATCTGAATGTCGCAGCAGAAATCCAGACTCATCAGGCAACATTTTTCCAATCTTCTATTGTCCAGTTTTGGTGAGCCTGTGTGAACTGTAGCCTCAGTTTCCTGTTGTTAGCTGACAGGAGTGGCACCTGGTGTGGTCTTCTGCTGCTGTAGCCCATCTGCTTCAAGGTTGGACGTGTTGTTGGTTCAGAGATGGTCTTCTGCAGACCTTGGTTGTAACCAGTGGTTATTTGAGTTACTGTTGCCTTTCTATCATCTTGAACCAGTCTGGCCATTCTCCTCTGACCTCTGGCATCAACAAGGCATTTTCACCCAGAGAACTGCTGCTCACTGGATATGTTCTCTTTTTGGGACCATCCTCTGTAGACCCTAGAGATGACCCTAAACCAGCCCATCTGGCACCAACAACCATGCCACGTTCAAAGTGGCATGGTTGTTGGTAAATCACCTTTCCTCCCCATTCTGATGCTCGGTTTGAACTTCAGCAGGTCGTCTTGACCATGTCTACATGTGTACCTAATAAAGTGGCCAGTGAGTGTTTATTACTAGAGAGTGAGTGTTTGGCTGCCAGGGTAAAATAAAGGAATGTGGGCCTGCCTGTTATTTTGCTGTCCCAGCAACAGCCATCGCTTGGTCAGCTTGATCTCTGCGGTCAGTGGGCGACACTGCTTAGCAACTGTAGTTGACAGCTACAGAATTCTGGTCTTAATCATATCTAACAACCAAAAGCTTTTCAGATGGGGCTCAATGAAAAGAAGTCTTATCAAATGCATGTCAGTAACCTAATGTGTATCAATAACACTGCATTTACACATACTACCCACATTGTTATGATACTGAGCTGGATGAACTTCAGAAAAGTATCCTCTTAAGTATTCTGAATAATCAATATAAATACCAAAGATGTTCAAATCACAGCTAACACAAAATATGCCAAGGTTAGGGTGAATCTCAGTTTTCCCTGTATTTCCATGGCAACAGGCACCTGTAGCATGCACTGGATCTAGTCGAGCACCTGTTTAGCTATCCCCCTTACCAGGACCCTAAAAACAGCCACAGTAATTAAGTAAAGCTCATTATTTTTGCTTCAGATATAGGCAGCTGCTCTCAGGTGTGTGTGTGTGTGTGTGTGTGTGTGTGTGTGCGCATGTAGTTGGAGGTCCACTGAATTAATGAGGCTAAAGACGGTGCAAAAAGGAAGGAGTAAGTACTCCCCTGAAATTATCTCCTCTCTTTTATTCTCAAATTTAGCAAAAAAAAAAAGCAATGAAGGTGCCAACTGAGCGGAGGATAATTGCTAAAGTTTTCGGTGATGGAGCACACTGCAACACTCCGTATGTGAAGAAAAAGGTATTTCAGCTTGTACTCTTTATTTCCCATGATGCACTTTACGCTATATCCATAGGCTATGAACACAAAAGGAGATCAACTTCACTGTTTTGAATTATAACAGCAGCCATGAGGTTTGTGGATGGAAATGAAGCAAGCTGAGTACAATTCTTTATTTATGCCTCATTTACGTCAGATTCAGTATATCTTAGTTCCCTCCCTCTCGGGTTCGCCATGACTGCTGGTGAGGGAAGTTGTACAGGACTTACAAATGGGTATTATTGAGACTTCCTCATCACTGCTCCGCAGAATAAAACCATCTTGAGTCTATAAGAAGGTTTTTATGAAGATTAAAATGAACTTCATTGATCTCCCAGGGGAAACTGTGCCAAGGCAGCTGCAAAGTAAAGATAAAATTACCATAAATAGAAAATATTTAGGATTCTAAATACATACAGTAACTGTTGGCTAGACTGGATTCGCCACACATTTCACAGAGTCTCCACCTTTAAAGATTTGCATACTGTATTTACCCTGCAGTGCGAGACCATAAGGGAAGGTGTGCAAATACAGGCGAGCGTCAAATTAAAGGAAACCAAGCGTACTATTTATGGTAACTACTACTTTGTATGCAAAATTGTCAGATATTATGCAAACACTGAGAGCACACGGGAAATACCTGTATCTTATAAATATGAATGTCCTCATGTCCATTACCAGTAGTTTATATTTGACAACGTATCCTCATCCTCATATAATACCTTCCAATTTATAACCTAGGTTATGTTAGGTTTAGGAAAGGAATCATAATTGGGCAAAGACTGTATAAAAAAAATGGATGTAGCTATCATGACATCATCCATTGGTTTTTGGTCTCCGATTTTGTAGTCTGAGTGGGTGGAAGTTCGCTGCATAGATCAGCCTCTCATTGGGCGGAACGAGCCACCCGCTGAAGTCCCGCCCTACCACCTCCGGTTGTGTAGCAGTTTTCAACCGTTTTCAACACGTCCTTTACTAACTTTTGCAGTGTTTAATCTTGCGGGGATGTAGCCATTTTTCTGCCATGGTTCACGTCCTATAGGAGATATTTTTGTGGAAGTGTTACACCAAAACCTGTTTCCCCCCAGCAATATTTTTGCAAGCGCACCGTTGCTGTGGCACCGTCCAGAACGATTGTGATTGGTTGAAAGAAATACAAGCAGCCAGGGTGTTTTTTCTCTCCAATCTCAAAGTGAGAGTCGGCCCAGCCAGACCTTTCTTTTCTTGAGAAAGGTCTGGTGAGCAAGACTACCAATTTTGCAACCTCGAGTTTGGCATTTCTGTTGTCTCCATCTTGGAATTTTGGAGTCAGAGGTGACCATATTTGGACAAGGGAGTGGATCTGACTCATGGACTGTGATGACGCCTCACAGACAGCCTGTC